TGGGCGCTGTCCCTCAGCTCTTCAGCTCAAGGCTAGCGCTCTACCACTTGAGCCACAGCGCCACTTCCGGCTTTTTTCTTATGTGGTGCTGAGGAATTGAACCCAGGGCCTCAGGCATGCAAGGCAAGCGCTCTACCACTGAGCCAACTTCCCAGCCCACTCATGAGACTCTTACTCCAATTAACCATTCAAAAAAATGGAAGTGGAGGGCTGGGAAGGTGGCTCAGTGGTAGATTGCTTGCCTTGCATGCATGAGGCCCTGGGTTTGATTCCTCAGCACCACATAAGCAAAAAAGAAAAAAGCCAGAAGTGACGCTGTGGCTCAAGTGGTAGAGCACTAGCCTTGAGCTGAAGAGCTGAGGGACAGTGCCCAGGCCGAGAGTTCAGGCCCCACGACCGGACCCAAAAACAAAACAAAACAAAAAACCAAACAAAAAACAAAGAAAACCTTTTTTAAAAAAAATGGAAGTGGAGCTGTGGCTCAACTGGCAGAGAGCTAGCCTTGAACACAAAGAGGCTCAAGGACAGGGCTAAGTTAAACCCCAAGACTGACAAAAAAAAAAAGTTTCATCAGAGGACATTTTTTGTGTCAGCTGAAAAATATGATTATGTCAAACACTGAGGACATGAAGTCCAAATGAGTCCAAGTCTATTCCTGTTTATAACAAAGCCCTTCCAACTTTGCCCAAGTTTATATTGATAAGGTAACTTCTGGAAAGTCTCTGGGTACACATGTAAAGACTCTGTTTTGCAATAGCAAAAAAGTATTGATGAAAGAATGAACAAATTCATTGTGATATCACACAGTGGTATATAATAGAAAACAAATTAACTGCAATCATAAATAAGGATCAGACTGCTGGGTAAGGTAGCACATGGCTGTAATTTGAGCCAGAAGCATCTTGAACTTGAGAAAAAACTGGGTTATGTGATAGGTTTGAGGCCAGACTGGGTTCCATAGTGAGATCCTATCTCAAAACAATGGGGGGAAAAAGGCTGGTTTAGTGGTAGAGTGCTTGCCTAGCATGCATGAAGCCCTGGGTTTGATTCTTTAGTACCACATAAACAAAAGACCAGAAGTAGTGTTGTGGCTCAAGTGGTAGAATGCTAGCCTTGAGCACAGAGAGGCTCAAAGATAGTGCCCAGGCCCTGAGTTCAAGCCCCCGGACTGGCAAAAAAAAAAAAAGGAAAACAAACCCAAGCACAGTGGGTCATACTATGGAGACCATGTAGGAGGCTAAGACCAGGAGGTTCACAGTTCAGGATAGCCCTGGCAAAAAAAAAAAAAGTTCATGAAACACCATTTTAACAGAAAAAGCTAGGCATACTGGCATACACCTTCCATCCCAGCTACGGTAGGAAGCAGGGTAGGAGTATAATGGTCCAGGCGAGGCCTGGTGAAAATAAGATTATAACTTGAAAATACCAAAAGCAAAAAGGGCTGGATCTGTGGTGGCTTCAGCAGTAGAGCACCTGCCTAACAAACATGAAGACCTTAATTCAGAACCCAGTACTGGAAAGGCCATGTATACACACACACACGCACGTGCACACACACATATGTATGTATATGTGAACACATTCATATTTATGTAAACTTTCTTTTGAGGAAGTGGAATGATAGTGGTTACTGCTGAGGAAGGACACAGTCATCTTTAGGGGAGACAAAGTGGAGAAGGAGTACATAGCTAGATGCAAGTTATTGCCACTGTTCTAGATCTTGGACTGTGCTAGGTTTATGGAAAGTTCACTATTTTGTGTTATTAACATTCAACTTTTGTCACATATATGATGTGGTTTTCAATTTGTATTTCATCTTGATAAATTCTTTGATGAGCTTTGTACTTTGTGGCTGTGTTTTTCACAGGCTGATGTGGATATCACAGAAATAAACAAACTAACAGCAGAAGCTATTCAGACACCTCTGAAATCTTCTAGAAGTAAGTACTGGTTACTCTTTGTTTTGTTTTTCATGTTTTTTTTTCATGGTCTAGTCATGCAGCCTAGACTGGTCTCCAACATGTAATCCTCCTATCTCTGCCTCCCAAGTAAGTGACAGGCATCACACAGCTTTTGTGAGTACTCTTCAAAACCCCTTATTGAACAGAGAGAGCTAAGGTCCTGGGAGTTTTTAAAACTCCTCAGGCCGGGCCTTATTTGGTGCATTGTCTCTTCCAAGAATGTCTGTCTTAAGCTTCTAAATCCAAAAAATGTGATTTTGGTCACTATGTTCAGTTAATTATATGTAAGACTGATGCCAACCAAACTTCTAAGACAGATATGTGGGCTAAAGGATAGGAAAAGAGCTAGCATTATTGCCTGCTTACTTTCCTTCAAGTAAAAATGGTTAGCAAGTTTCAGAGAGGTATTAAAGTACAGTTCATGCCAACTGAAACTCCCTGATATCATCAGAGAACTTTCTCAGTATATAATCCATGTGACTCAGAACAGTAATTATATATATAGTATTTACTATCATATATGTAAATCTAATGTGTACCACACTCTGAGAAATACTTACAGGAAAGTTGTATAGGAAGCCAAGTTGTAACTGATGAGAACGGAATCAGGCCAAGATAAATGAGATATAGACGGAACACCGCTGTGAATACATTACTCCATGCATCTGACAGATGGGTCAGGACAGCCCTGACCAATGGCCTGGATGTGAGGGCTGTCCTTCAGGGTACCATCTTCTCTGATCAGGGCCAGAAACACTGTCCACCTCTAGTTCTGATTCACCCTTGATCAGTGTTGCCCTATAGAGTGAAGAAAACATGGTGGGGGTTTTGCTTTCTTAGTGTCCTGTTCCCTGAAGTGACAATAGAATGGAACCAGAGTTCCTTAGCCATATACTTACAATCTGTTGGGTCACTTGGAGACATTTCTGTATTTTGATAATATTTGTTTCTCTTCTGTTTCATCAGTTTTGCTTACTTCATAGTAGGGAAAAGATCTTTTAATGTCTCTCTTTGGAACCAAACACATCAGGGCCAATATTAACAAATGATTAAAATTATTTTTGTACCTCATTGATCAGTAGACTTCAGTTATATGGTAAACTCAGGATCATAGGCCTGAGCCACCAGTGCCTGGCTTTTAAAATTTTCCCTCGTGTACTAGGTCTTATACTTAGGGCCTCAAGTTGTTTCTTAGCTTTTTTACTTATGGCTGATGCTTTAACACTTGAGCCACATCTGCAAGCCCCTGAGTCTATTTGATTGTAGCCTAAGATTATGTGAATTCAAGTCCTTATGAGAAATGTGAATGCCTGAGAAATAACATGCTGTTAAAACTGTTTCTTATAGAACAGAAAGTAGTACAAGTGGATGAAATGATAGCGGAGGAAGAAGATGAAAATAAACATAAAAATCTTCAAACTACCAGGGTAAGTAGGAGTTCAGATTAAGGTATGGCAGGAGACAAGCAAATACAAAAACATGTGGAACACAGTGCTGCCTTCCCAGAGCTTACAGCTTGGGAAGTTTGCACTGTGAGTGCAAGAAACCATTTGACATGGTACAGAATGTGTGGAACACAGAAGAGGAAGCCAGCCAGCTTTCCCTCCCCAATAGGATATAGCCAGTCCTTTCACAGTGAGACTAAATAAAGGGCAAGAGGCCAGGCATCGATGGCTCATGCCTAATAATCCTAGCTACCCATGAGGCTGAGAACTGAGGATCTTGGTTCAAAGCCAGCCCAGGCAGAAAACTCTGAGTCTCTTATCTCCATTTAGCCACCAGAAAACCAGAAGTGACCCCATGGTTCAAAGTGGTAGAGTGTTAGCCTTGAGCAAAGGAGCTCAAGGACATTGCTCAGGCCCTGAGTTCAGTCCCCATGACCACCAAAATGAAAGGGCAGAAGTTCCAGAACAATCTAGAAAGGTGTCCAGTAAAACAATAGGAAGACTCTGGATGGTAGTGGCTCATGCCTGTAATCCTATCTACTCTGGAGGCTGAGATCTGAGAACCACAGTTTAAAACCAACATGGGCAGAAAAGTCCAAAAGACTCTTTATCTCCAGTTGACCATTAAAAAAAAAAAAAAAAAGTGAGGCCAGACACCAGTGGCTCACACCTGTAATCCTAGCTACTTAGGAGGCTGAGATCTGGGGATCATGATTCAAAGCCAGCCCGGGCAGGAAAATCCATGCCTCTCTTATCTCCCATAAACCACCAGAAAACCGGAAGTGGTGTTATGGCTCCAGTCGTAGAGCGCTTGCCCTGAGCTGAAGAGCTGAGGGACAGCACCCAAGCCCAGAGTTCAAGCCCCACAGCTGACACACACAAAAAAGCCAGAAGTGGGGGTGTGACTCAAGTAGTAGCACCAGCCTTGTGGGAAAAAGCCAAACAAGAGCACAAGGCCCGAGTGCCAGGCTTGGAAGTTTCTATTCTATTGGATAGGTAATGGTAAGGATATCAGATAGATATTTCAAAGCAGTATTCAGGACAAATGGAAGAGAAGAAAACAAGACAAGAGCACCAGTTAGGTAAAACTGAAGTGTTCATTTGAAATAAATTTTATAAAAAAATAGTGAGTCTCATCAGTATAAGAAGGAGGAATAAGATGGTTTCTAGGTTAAGCAGCTGCCATCCAGTGAAACATAGGGCCCAGGAGGCAGAGTGGCTGTGTAGGGTAAGGGAGAACAGATGCCAATTCCTTGACATGCTAGGTTAAGTAAAGTACCCTTCTAGGACATCTGAGCTAGACAGAGTTACTGCATGGAACTAGGAAGGAGGAAGAGATTAAAACATACACTGACCTCCAGATCTGTAGGTGCTTGTCCAGGGATGAAGTAGGAAAAGGCTCTGCTAGGAGAAGGAAGGGAGTCTGCAGTGGGCTCTGGAGGGAAGGGAAAAGGGCTCTGGAGGCAGACTGCCAAGGGACTTCCAGCTGGATTAGGCTTGGGAAGCAAGGGAAGAGAGAATTACCAAGAGATGAGTGATTCTTTTCAGATATTTTCAGGAATCAAAAAGGTGAGGACTACAGAGGGTTTGTTGGCTTGGGCACCTGGGGTACCCTGAGTGACCTCCACAGCAGCAAAGTCGTGGAAACAAGCCAGGCTGCAATCAGTTCAAGAGAGATTTTCCATTAATCTTGGCCTAAATCCTCTATTTAGAAGAAACAGCCTTGTATAAGATCCTAGTTGATTGAAGGACCTTTCTTGTTGAGACAGGGTCTTGCTATGTAGCCCATCCGCCTACTTCAGTGTCCCAAATGCTGGGATTCCCGGTGTGTTCCACTATGCCTAGCTAAGATGGACCTTCTGTTCAATATTAATTTCCCTTTTTAAGGCTGCCATCCCTTCCCAGTCCTCTCTAATCCTCCTTACCTTTCCCCCTTGCTGGGCTTTGTGTGATCTCAGTTTGATTGTGACTTTAGGTCAAGAAGTGTCCACCATCCAAGAAGAGAACCCAGTCCATTCAAGGAATAGGCAGAAGCAAAAGGTAATGGTTTTTCCAAAGTCGATGTGTTATGTTACTTGGTTTAATTGGAGAACTCTGTTCATCATGGCAGAAATCAAGTCAAAGGGGCTTTGGTGGCTGATGTACGCGTGGAGTTTACATGGAATCAAGTATCCAAGCTAGAGGGGTCTTTTCCAGTTCTGCTGACATTCTCTAGCTTCCTCCTCCATTGTATTTTTAAAATACCAACAGGAAGAGGGAGGCTCAGAACATACAGTTAGCTGCATATTATGCTTAGTTGCCTGACAGTATTGTTAAGAGCCCCAGAATCAGTTACAAAGGCTATTACCTGCCCATAATTAGTTTCTTGACATGTTCTTGCTGGTCCTGTTGAGACTCCACCGTAAATCATTAGGAGAAGGGGGAGCCACTCGGTAGAGTAGGCTTGGAGGTGCAAGTCTGTAGAGGAGGGAAGTCCTCCCACCCCTGAGCAGAGGCAACAGGATGTTAACCAGCTGCCCTGTGAGAGGACTGTGATGCCAGCCAGGGAGTTTTTGCATTGTCAAGAAGGAACTGAGGTGGTACAGGAAGCATGCTACCTGGGTTCAAGTCAAGTTCCTCTTTTGGGCTGTGTGATCTTGGACAAGTTCTTTAAATGCCACATGCATGAGTTTCTGCATCAGGGAGGATAGTATAATAGTCACGTTCTTCTAGGATGGCAAGGAGAGTTGCATGACTGGGCACAGGTTATCCAGAGTAGCATGAGACATGTGAGTTGACATACTCTGTGGCTGTTCTTACCTACAGGTCAAGCTATAACAACACTGTAACCCCAGCTGTGGGCAGACTAGAGTTATCTATGGTGAAACCAACCCCACTCCTGACACCCAGGTTTGACTCTAGGTGAGTTCTGTACCAGCACTCAAGAGTGTGTAGGAAATGCTCTCAAGTCCTTGGTCAGGGAAGCCTCGGAACATGGCAGCTGTCTGGGCTTTCCAGTGCTTGCCTCTTCTCCGAGTGGCTGTTCACCCATTTTCAACAGCAAAATGATAGGTGTGGGCACATGTGCAAATTAGGCACACACTCGCTGGTACTGGAGCTTGTACTCCAGACTGGCACACTCATTCAGCTTTTTCCATTCATGGATGGTGCTCTAACACTTGTGGCTTTTGCAAATGATGGTTTATCTCCTAAGAGAATATTCTGCATCTAACACCTTGGAGGCCTCTACATGACTCCCTTGGTCTGCTCTTTTTTTTGAAGCTGTGTAGGAGGAAATTTGCTGGTACCTTTTTTGAGAGCAACGTGAACAAGTATGATTACAGCATAAGTTAATGCCTTCATGAGGCTGGCTGACTAAATAGGAAACACTGTGTAGCCCTTAAAAAGAATATCTCCAGCAGGTTCCAGAGCCGCATGTACTCTTTTATCCCATTTGCTTTATACATGTGGACAGTTTGGGGAAATAGATAAGGGATTAAGAGTGGTTACCTTGGGGGTAGTAGAGCAAGAAGTAGTTATATAGTGAGGAAAACTTACTTTCCACTTTTATTTCCTACTTACTAATTTTTGGGTAAACATGTAGCAAAAGACATTTCTGGGGATACAAGTAGCAGCATTTTCACTGTATAGAGGTTAGTTGGGAATTGCACAATGATGTAATCTCTGAATCATCCTCCTTTGACCTGGGAAATGTCTCTTAGTGGAAGCATTGAGCCACTATTGGAGGCACATTAACTAGTTTATTTCTGGTTCTGGATGGGTGGGTGACTGGCATCCATACAGTTTTGGTCCTAAAACTAGCATGCATGAATATTTGCTAGATGTATGTTTGATCATTATAATTTTTCTCCAGCTGTGTTTAGTCATTACTGCTTTAAAAGTGTTTTCCCTACATTTAAAATTTGCCATTTAGAAACGTGGGATTTGAAAACTACAGCTTGAGACCAGATGGGGGGTTGGAAGGGCTCATCATGGTTGGCGTCACTGAGTCTGCCAAGCTATCCTCACAGAGATTTTCCACTTCGCAGGGTCTTCAAGACCCCGGGCCTCCGCACTCCAGCAGCCAGAGAACAGATTTACCACATCTCGGCCAATGGCAGCCCTCTTGCTGACAGCAAAGAAATCTCCCTCACTGTGCCAGTGGCTGGTGGTGCGGTAAGTCTTGTTCCAGGGAGCCGGGCCACAGCACACTGCCCAGTGAAGCGTTTCTCTTCCCTGGGCTATCATCCCACTCTCTCCCTCACAGTCCTTTCAGTGAGGGGGCAGTGTCCCACTCTCACTCAACAGTCCCTTCAGTGGGGTGGGGCCTGATCTCCACATATCCACAGGACTCAACTCCATTTCCTGTCCCAGGCTGGGAGGACACTTGCCCAGATCTGCCTCTGTTCACCAGCTGCCACTGAGGACAGCAGGCCCCAGTGGTAACCTCTATGACACAGTGCAAAAACAGCAACAGTAAAGGGAGCCAGAAGAAAGCACTGTGAGGTGTACACTTGGTCCAAAAAGGGCAGCAGAAGCTGTTCCTTCTGCTCTGCAAAGCTGAAGCACTCTGAGCAGGTTGAGCGTGGTTTCTGTGCACTGTGAAGAGCGAGAAATTGCTGAGCTGTGTTTCCATGGGATCAGGGCTGTGATCTGCATAGTGCTCTAACTGGTGATCCAGTACCAAGATAGCACTGATGGTGCAAACACCTCTCCTGCCTGCCTCACCACTTCTCTACCCTGAAGGACGTGCCATTCAACCCATTCTCTCCTCCATACAGAGTATGCGGTTATTGGCCAGTGACTTGCAAAAGATGGATATTACAGAGCTGGATCCAGAGGCCATAGGAAACATTAAGAAGCTCTCAGTAAGTCTCATAGTTATTTATCTCTACATATCAGAATCTCCAGGATCTTTCTTGGTTTAGTATCTATTTTCCTTTTTTTCCTTTTTTGTGGTAATGGAGTTTGAACCTTGCCATCTGCTAGGCTTTTTTTGTGGTAATGGGTTTGGACCTTGCCATTTGCTAGGCTTGCGCTCTACTACTTAAGCTTTTACTCTACTACTGCTCTACTACTGCTTGCTTTTTATTTTGGAGATGGGATTTAGTGGACTTTTTTTGCCTGCATGGCCTCAAACTGTAGTCCTCTAGATTTCTGAGTAGCTAGGATTACATGTGTGAGCGGTACCTATCTTAACTTTCTTTAGTTCTGTGATTTACGTATGGACCAGTACTTGCCACTGCTGTTGAGTCTGAGCTCTGCCTCAGTGAGGCAGTCATGTTGAAGAGTCCAGGAAAGAGTAGGACAACCAGGCTGCAGCCGGTGACGCTAGCAGCAGCAGGAGTTAGGGACTCACTCCAGCACTCCCTGGCTCTGCAGCTCAGCACTCATTTCACTTAAACATCTCGATCCTCCCTCCTAGCACATCATCTTTTAGCTCTTGGTTCTCTTCTGTTTTCATTGCTTTGTATGTCATTTGGGGAGCCTCACTCCAGCCTGAACTATATTGTCCAGCTCCAATATTGTTTGGTTTCCTGCCTTAAATTCTTGAGAGGAAGAGTTTAATTGGCTTAGCTCTGATGTGATAAACCTCCCTGGTCCAGTCAGTCTTGGGTATGGAGAAGAGTACTTTATAGGCACGGTGCATAGCCTGCCCTATGACCCCACAGTCTGTGAAAGGTACACTCTAAAGGGACATGGGTGAAGCCAGATTCTAAAACACTCAGATCTCTCTCTCCCCATCTCCCTCCTCCTCTCCCCTTTCTCTTCCCCTGCTCTCCTGGTAACAGTTGTTTGCACTACTGTTCTTAATATTCTTGATACTTCCACTGTCTCGTTCATGATTTTTCTCCTTTGTTCAGATGAAAAACTGATTTTCAGAAGGATTTATTAATGTGTAATACAATGAATAGAGGATATGGTTCGCATGGACTCATGCTTAGGTTGACTGAGTAGCTGGCTGGAAAAGCATGCCAGGTGCCATTTCCCTTGAATGACCCAAATGTCCCCTTTTCAGAACCGACTCTACCAAATCTGCAACAACCTGGGGACCCACCGATGAGAAGACAGCAGAGCCGGAGGGTGCAAAGTGACACCCAGCAGCAGAACGTCCTCCTCCTACTGAGAAAGTTCGAAATGAGTCTTGGGCTCTTTCACCTGCTTTGCCCAGTAGTTCTGTCAAGTTGCTCTGGAAGTGCTTCATTTTTATCCCTCCTCGGCAATGAGCAAAAATTGCCCTGGAGGGCAGCTTCCCTGCCTGCACCTCTGTCTGTAGTCTAGGGTCTTACGGGACTGAGTTGTCTGGTGTGGTGGCCCCTCCCAGGCCTGTGGACTGCAGAGCACCTCTCCTGTGGGGAGCACTTCTCCTTGGGAAACACTGGGCCTGGTGATCTCAGTTCTGTATTTTTAATTCAGTCCTGTACAATTTGAGTTGTTTTCAAGTTCTATCTTTATGAGACTTTTATACATAGTTTTTCTGAGTAATGTTGTATACTGAAAGATACCTAGTTCCAATAAATCTTGGTTTGTTTTTAAATCAATATTCAGACTGTCCCCACATCTCTGGTTGTGCTATGTGCTATGGGAGGGGGGCTGTTTTGATGCTGAATCTATTGGAGTGGGGGTCATTGGACAGCTACTATCCTTGGGACATATATAACCTTTTCTACAGGCAAAATCTCTGACATGTAAAATGTGTCTTAACATCAGTAACCTCAGCCCTAAGCAGATTCCCACACACTTTTTTGTTTTTGGTCCTTCATGGGTCTTGAACTGGGCACTGTCCTTGACCCTCTTTGTGCTGAAGGCTAGCACTCTGCCACTTGAGCCACAGCACCTCTTTTGTTTTTTGAGTGGTTAATTGGAGACTTTTCTGCCCAGGGTTAACTTAGAACCACAATCAGATCTCAGCCTCCTGAGTAGTTAGTATTACTGGCGTGAGCCACCGTCACCCAGCTCCCCTACACTTTATTCAAGATCTAGAATTTACATGGGAGGGGACACAGTCTCCAATATCTATAGTAAACTTGTAGAGTGAAATCTCAAGACAAAGCCAAGTGTAGAGGATTTCTCGGCAGTCACACTTCTCCAGTCTCTAGGCCCAGATCTCTGCCTCCTAGAACTACTACTACAGAATGACCCACATGAAACTCTTCAAAGAAGACAGCCTGAGGTCATGACAGCTTCTCCAGGAGAGGCTCTCTGGCAATCCTTTAGCCCATGGACAGCATTTGGAAGAAAGGTTTCTTACTACAAGGTGGTCACCTGACCTGTGGTTGTCACATACCTGAGCTCCTGCCTTCCCCTTCCTCCTTTGGGCAGTGTTGAGAACACCCTGACATCAAGGCAACACTTAGGACCCACCCGCTTTATCCAGAGTCTTCCAGCCTTCCATTCACACCACTGCCTAAGAAAACCCAGTTGTAGGAAAGCATAGTATACAGCAAGTGCTTAATTGATGCCTGTGACTGAGATGGGGCAGGCCTTCATGCTATAAAATGGACTGGCTTAGAAGGTGAAGAGTTCCCCATCCCAGGACTTTAAGCATGGGTTGGACTGTCACAGGACTGGACATTGCAAAGATACAGGGAGAAGATGGCAGCCACAAGCTGAGAGAAGAGTTCTGAGCAGATCCTCAGCTCTTACAAGGATCCAACCCTTCCAACACCTTACCTTGGATTTCCAAGTCCAGAGCTAAGATAAACACCTATTGGGTAAGCCACCCAACTTCAGGTCCCTTGTTATAGTAGCGCTAGCAATCTAATGCAATCACTGATCACATTCAGACCGACAGCCCCTCTTTTGTCTCTTCCACCACAGTTATTCTGTATTTAACACCTAAATTCACATTTTCTTGGGCTGCATGGTCTAATTCCTTCCTAGTCTCTCCCTTCCACTACTGCTTGCGTCTGGTTCCTGCCCTCCTCCATCCAGCTACCTCTAATGTTGAAGTTTCCCCAGGGGTCTTCACTATATGCTGAGAGCTGTTGTACGTTTGTGTTCCAAGCTCCAGACCCCGAGTCCAGCTGTGTCCTGGACATCTCTGCTTACATGTCCCCACATACCTCAAATGCATGTGCAAAACCCAGCTCATTTCTTTCCAATCTCAGGAAGGCACTTCCTCACCTAGGGCACCCGGCGTGACTTATGCCCCCTGACCACACTGTGCCATCATTTCCTAGATGGCAGTGTTTTTCATGGTCAGAGCAGGGTTGATCTACCTCCACACAGGGATCTGAGATGCACTTTCATACCTTACCTCCAAGCTGCTTGATGCTTAAACAACTGCCACTCAAAGAAGCACTAGATCACAGACAAGTTTTTATTTGTCCTCCATATAGAACCAAGAAATAGAAAAACTCCCGAATTACTCAAAGGACCCACCTCCCCCACCAGCTCCCTCCCTCCCTGGGTGGGCTCAGATGGGTCATGCTGAGGGTTGTGGGCTACCTCTGGTCCAGTGAACAAGTTCCATATAAAAATAAATTTGTGAAGGGCTCTCAGAGACCCATTACCCTGCCTCCCGCTGGTGCCGGTGCTGGGCTGGGGCCTCACTCCTCATTGGAGGAGAGACCTACCCTGAACACCGAAGTTCTGCCCACATAGCCAGTGCCTCCCCTCCTCCCCCCCCCCCCCCCGCAGAACAGCTGGGGGAGGAGAGGACTTTGACCTTAAGAGAATGACCCAAGATGAGGCTGGAGATGGGGATGCGGTTTTTACCACCCAGGACAGGGCACTGGTCCAGGCATCCCTGGAGGGGGTGCTGAAGGAAGGGCCTGGAGGGAACCTGTCAAAAGGTGGGAGTGATGTCCCAGTTACCCCAAAGTTACTGAGCTGGGGCAGGTGTTCAGTGGAGTGGTTAGCCAAGAGTAGAGGAGACTCCTAGGAGGAAGGAGCCGCTGCTATCAGGGTGCAGCCAAAGGCACCACTGGGAGTCACCTCCACTATGGGGTGCTCCTCAAAGATGAGCTGCACCATCCAACCCTGGGTTCTTTTCCAGCTAGCACCTGCTGGACTCCTCTCGTTCTATGCTGTTTACCTTAGCCTGCTGAAAACCACCCACACCAAAGAACCCTCATCTCAGACCCTGTGTCAATTATATTCGGCTAAGAAACCTTTCAGGATATCCCTGGATTCCTCACACTGTGAGTGTCCAACTGCCCTGAGTGGTCCTGGGTGGGTGGCCCTGGGTGCTAGCAGGAGGGCACCATATATTACTTCCTGGTACTTGAGCTCATTTCCTCATTGAGGGTAAGTGGGTTTTTCATCCCACAAAGACAAACTGCAGCAGACATTGTCACCAGTGACATGAACAAACCTGGCTCCTGTGGCCCTGTCTAGATCTAGCCACCTGCCTGCCCTCCTGTGAAAGCCCTGGCCTTGAGATCGCCACTGCCAGGGCCCTTCCAGATGGACACTTGTAGAGTTGGTCCAGCATGACTGCTCCTGCCAGGGCTCTGCAGAAGTCACAGGAGGAGGGGCTCTGAGGATGCATTGTGCCCAGGGACAGAGCTAGTCACAGGAGTCACCTCTAGATTATCCACTGGGCAGCCCCAGAAAAGATTGTGGGTGCTGAGCCAGCCTCCTCTCTAGACTGGGGTCTGACCCCAGCTTTGGCTGTGAGCTCCATGGGCTCTGTTTTCTCCAGGGTCCTTGGGGAGCAGGGACTAGACAGCCTGTTAAAAGAGAGATCTGAGTGTCCTCTTTACTAGCCCCCCAATCTGAAAAGCAAAGCTCTTGGGTCCATACAGAGAAGACTCAGCCCCTCAAACTCTTCTGTGTCAGTTTACCTCTCATGGGGCCCTAGGGGAGGAGCACCAGGGCTTTGTATAGTCCACTCAGGACCCTGGCTGGCCTTCATCCTGAACTGTCAGCCCAAGAGAGGGAACTCCTGAGTGTCAGACTTGAAGTCTAGCCCTTGAGCTCAGAACATCTGCCTGCCAGGGCCTTAGTTATTAGTCCAGACAGACCCCAGCCAAGGCACAGGGACCCTGCTCCTAGGGACCCTGATCCTCTGGCCCAGCCTCCCATACCTGGGCTACCAGGCAGCTACAATCACTGCCAGGTCAAATGGATGTCCCTCAGGGACCCCTGCTGTCTGACTGCCAATAGATCTGTGAAGCAAGGGGGAACATCCATCCAGGCCAGTGGGTATGGAAGATAGATGGGCATGAGCCCGGGCAGTTGAAATAATGTCTTCTCTCCCCATCATTGCTCAGCTATGTCCCTGAGACCCTGACATTCCTTTTGCTATGATCTTGGGGGTCCTCTCCAGGGACTAGACCTCTTCCAGGGGCACTAGGTTAGCCAGGTATTCAGAGGGGAAAATGAAATGAGGATACCTCATGACCCCAAACCAGCTAGGAGCCCAAGAGGAGGAAGGAAGCCCTCCCCTCCCCCGAGGTGGAGAACAGCTGCAGGGTTGTTGGGCAGGGTTGAAGCCTGCCGTGGAAGAGTTGGGGGGCCTCACACCTGCACCCCCTGGCCCTGCAGTTGCAGCACTCGAGCACGCAGGGCGCTGATCCCGCTCAGAAGGGCCTCTCGATGTTCCGCTGAGGAGATGCCCAGGCTCACCAGGTCCCTGGAACAAGGGCTGGTCAGGCCTAGCTACCCCAGCCCATTGTTCTGCTCATCCCATGGAGTCCCCTGGCCCTCCCTCCCCTTCTCTGCACAGGGCAGCACTAGTACCAGGAGAGGCAGGGCCAGGCCCCTGGGCTCCCTACGTCCCAGTCTTGACCCTGGCTCCTCAGACTCACTGGGCAGTCATCTCAGCCACAGCCTCCAGGCTCCCATAGCCAGCTGCAGCAAAGCTGTCCTTGTAGCGGCACAGGTCCAAAGCCTCTAGCCAGGCGCCCACAGAGCCAAAGGAAGGGAAGGTGGAGAAGGCACGGTCTGCCAGAGGGGTGGGAGGCCTGGGGAGCAGAGGAGCTGAGGTCAGACAATGGCCAGAGTCTGGTACCCAGACCTGGTCACTCTCCTGAGGAGAAGCTGTGAGAAAGCACAAGGGGGAAAGGAAGGAGATCGAAGCCCTGGGAGAGGCCTAGCTGACATGGAGCACTGTGAAGTTCCAGAGGAGATGAGTTAGGATATTCAAAAGGAGAAAACTGAATCTTAAAGACACTGAGGGTATCTGGGACAACCAGGCCCCACACGCCTAGGACACAGGTGTGGCAGGTGATGCCTATTTAGAACAACTAACCTTCACTTCACTGAACTCACTTATTGGAACTACAGATTTGTTGGGATGATGATAAATATGTATTTTTCAGCCCATGGTCATTATACACAGGCTATGTGGGGCAAAATCCAGGACAAAGATGGCTGGGATAATGCTGAGCAGTGGGCAGGTGTAGTGAGCAGGTGGTTGTGCCAGGGACACTGGGAAAACCATTAAGTGGACAGATGAAAGGGTGGCTCTATGTGGGACAACTGGAGATTGGTGAGAATGTACCTGGGAGAGGTGGTCGTGACACCTTTCGAGGGTTCTGGGTCTTGCCCCATCTTGCTCAGGATGCTGTGGATCTGGGAGAATCTAGGCCGCTCACCTGGGTCTTTCTGCCAGCAGTCAAGCATCAGTCGGTGCAAAGGGGAGGGGCAGTTCCTGGGGGGCGGCAGCCGGAAGCCATCCTCCACAGCCTTGATCACCTGGGCCACAGGGATGGGGAAAGATAGAAGGGGGAGGGACAGGTGCAAGGCGGGGCAGGGCTTCAGATCAGACCCCCTTAACACACTATCCCAAAGAGGATTCTGATTGTGTCTAGGCAGATGACAGAGAAGACAGACTTGGAGCTAGGTCAAGGGTTAATGGGAAGAGGTCAGGGAGCTGGATTCTGAGGTCAGAGGGTAAGATCAGAAGACAAGACTCTGGAGTCACCCGTCACTCACGTCTTGGCCAGACATGTCCCAGTAGGGCCGCTCCCCAAAGGCCATCACCTCCCACATGACAACACCAAAGCTCCACACGTCACTGGCAGAGCTGAAGTGGCCAAACTGGAGTGTTTCAGGGGCGGCCCAGAGGGCTGGACTCCGGCCACTCTGTGGGTGCATAGGCAGATTAGGTCAGAAAGGAATGAAGTCATACCCAGGCCATCCCACCCCACTTCCAGCCCTATTTGTCTTCCCAGGCAACCCCTGATCAGTATCCCTGAGCTGACCACAGGATGGATGGTTCCCCAGAGTATTTCAGGACCACAGGGGTAGATAGACAGGACAGGGAGCAACTCTGACAGCAGGGAAGGTCAGGGGTGGGGAGGATAGAGCCTCCTTCCCCAACAACTGAAGGGACAGTGTGGGGGGAGAGGACAGGCTGGACTGGGGGAAGGGTTCCTCACCATGGTGGTGTAGACAGCCTCTGCTCGGTCCCGGGGACCCCTCCCAAAGCCAGAGATCTTACAGACGAGGCCACTGCCAACCAGCACGCGGCGGGCCGCCAGGCCCCGGTGAACATAGCCCATCTCTGACAGATACTTCATGGCTGACGCCAGGCCAGGCAGCAACCCCATCAGCTGCCCAGCCACCAGCTGGCCCTCATGATGCTGTGGATGGGAGAAAACTGAAGCCAGGGCTGTACACTGGGATCCCCCGGCACAGTGGCAGGGGATATCCCTTAGCCCTTTCTAGACTTCAGTCTACCCAGTGACCATTGGGTCAGCCAAGACTGCAGCAATGATGCCAGTTCCAAGCCCACCAAAAAGGAGCGTGAAGGACTAAGTGTAACATGGTCCACAGTGCCCTCCCGGGACCCAGGCCACTCACCCTGAGGAAGCCGTCCAGGGCGCCATGGCTCATATACTCTGTGACAATCATCAAAGGGTTTCCTGGGTGAGGGGACACACACTAAATCAACTACTCCACAGTCAGCTCACAGGGCCACTTTGCAGCCACGATAGCCAGGATAAAGGCAAGCTGTCTAATCTTACCACCCTCCCACCCTGCTCAGTCCCCTATGCTGAGGAACAAAAGAGAAATGTCTTCAGAAGGCCAGAGGCCGAGGTCAGGAGCAGCAGCAGCAAGTTAGCTACAAAAGATCACCTGGGGCCAAAGTGACCCATCCAGTGGGCAGCTAGGAGGGTCATTCTGGGTCAGCGGCCACTTTAGAAAGAGCATGGGTCCTACCTCGAGTGACCACGCCTTCCAGCCGCACGATGTGGCTGTGGTCAAACTGGCCCAGTGTGAGGGCCTCTGCCAGGAAGCTGAGCCTTTGAGAGTCAGAGCAGCTATCCCTCAGTGTATGCACAGCCACCGGCAGCTCCTGGCGGCCCGGCAGCTGCAGACAGCCACAGCACAGGTCTCCAAAGTGCCCTACAGGGAAACCATACCTCAGACTACTCCCTGGAGGACAGGACCTGGCTGGCTGGGGCAGGCTAAGCTGAAGCAACAGTGACCCTGGGTCATGGGCTGTTTGTGGCCTGCTGTGGGAACCCCTGAGTATAACTCCCAGTAACCTGAGTACCAGCAATGAGGCCTGGGCCTTCATCTCTTTCTCTCTTTTGGCCTCACTTTACTTCTCTATGAAAGGATTTTGTGCATGCCAGACCATCAAGGGCCATGGAACCCAGTATGACCCAGGACAGGGGGTGAGGGCATCTACCCTGCAGCACTCTTTTTGGTTTCTGTGATGGCAACAATACCAGAGGAGACAGCCAGGCCTCCTAAGTACAGGAACTAAGGCCAGGTAGATAGGCAGAAAGCCGGACATTGGGGTGAGCACTAGGAGGTCCTCACATCAGCCTCAGAAGGTAAATATTTTATCCATTTTACAGACAAAAAAAAACTGAGGCTCTGAGAAAAGTGGGACATACCCCTAGTCATGCAGCTCATCCATTATAGAGCCAAGACTAAAAAAAAACAGACATTGAAAAGGCTTGGCCCTACTCTCCCCCATGAAGGCCTAGGATTGAGAGGGTAGGCAGGCAGAGTCTTTGGTGTGCCAAGGGATTTTTCTGGGTAAATCTTGTGGTCAGTAAAAAGGCAGGGCTTCTGGACATGGGACAGGGACTTGAGAGAGGCTGGCTGAGAGGACAAAAAAGTGGAGCTAGGGAGGGGCAGGGCTTCTAGAATAGATGTGGGAGTACTGGGTGGAACTTTCTGAGCAGACTGCCCAGTGGGGGGGACCTCTCTAGTGAGTGGGGCTTCCAGGTGGGATCAGGTGTCCAGAACGCCTGGCTTGCCTGCTCCCAGGCTCCTCTCCAGTGTGACGCTTTTCATATCCAGCTCCTTGGCGAAGAGATGCACAGCCTGCAGTGGGTCTCCACAGTTCTGGGGATCCAGGAACGTGCGACGGGTGGGGACTTTGACTGACAATGCAGACAGGGAAAGAGATGAGGCTGCGGGAAGGGGACTCCATCACCAGGAGAGGGGAGAGGCGGGGCACAGACAACTCACAGTGGAAGTACAGCTCCTCTTCATCGTGGGCATCCCCGCCTCCTTTGCCATAGCTGCAGGGCCTGTGGAGTGCAAAGTTATCCTTGTACCAGGCCATCCCAGCCCTTCTCACTTGACCAGTGCCCAGGGTAGCATCTCTTGGTCCCATCAAAAAGGCAGGGTGTGCATCCTGGGGAAGGACCTTCTTGTTCCTCTCTTTTGAAGCCTTCTCTGTAGCTAAGTTTCTCCCTCCCTCCCTCCTTTTCTCTCTTCCTTCCAACCTTCCTCCTTTTCTTTCTCCTTTCCTGTGCCCTGCCTCTCTTCTCCAAAGTTCAACAAACCTAAGCCACAAAGGATGGCATAAGGGCCCCCTGAGGCAGGGTAATGATGGCCCAGATAAAGACCCTGGCTTTTATTCTAGGAGCAGAGAACCCCTGGGGATTGGTACAATGCCATGATTTAATTTTCATTTTAGAAAGATCCTCCCAGCTGCTAATTCCAGGCCGCTCTAGCTCTACCATCCCTGCACAGGCAGCACAAGGGCTGACACTGAGGGGTAACCATGTGACAGACAGAGGTTGAGGAGCTCAAGAGAGACAAGAAGGCTTCAGGGATTACAGGGCTGGGAGACTGCTGATGGCAGAAAAGGAGAGGAGAACTCGCCCAGCAGAATCCATGGGGTGCCATCACCAAGATAGGGCATGAAAAGTTCATGTTTAGACATCTGAGCTCATGGCAGTAGGTAGCTCAGGGAAGACTGGTGAACAGGGAATTTGATTGTATTTCTCTTTTTTTTTTTATTGTGAAAATACCGTACAGAGGGGTTATAATTACACGGGCAAGATAATGAGTACATTGTTGCCTCCTCCTTTGTTTCCCTTCCCATCCCTTCCCATCTCCCAACCCCCCAGCACCCCCCCCTTTTGATTGTATTTCTGTACCTCAAAGAGAGATCTGCTCTGAAGATACAAATCAAGGGCCCCAAGAAAGAAGGGAGACTGGGAGAAATGACCAGGAACAAGTCTGGGAAAGCCAACAGTTAGAGGTTGGGTAGGAAAGGAGAAAGTCACAGGAGTGGACAGAAAACAGAAGGGAAATGGGCTGGGGATGTCATAGGAACCAGGGAAGGAGAAAGTGAGGAAGGGCATGTGAAGGTTAGAGGAGGAGGGAAGGGGGAAGTTTTCAAAAGAGAGGTGGGATGATGTCTGGACCAGAAGGAGCATGTGCGGCATGGAAAGGTGCTGGTGCCTGGCTTTGGAATCAAACTACACATTCCTGTCTCTCAGATCCTCCACTGAATTGGGACCAAGGAGGCTCAGTTTTCTCTTTAATAAAATTGGAATAAAGACAGCCAAGCTGTGCCGCACCATTTCGAAGAGCTTACCATTACATTTGTATTTTGAATGCTCCCCAGAGGCCCACATGTTCTGGGCTTGGTCCCTAGACTACAGTGCTATTGGGAGAAGACAGAAGCTTTGCAGGTGATGTCTGGTGGGGGTTGGGGTGGGGTAGAGAGGAAGTCAGATCCCTTGGAGAATGACCTTGAAGAAGGTAAAGGGACCCCAGCCCTTCCATGCCCATCTCCCTGCTTCCTTCCCACCACGATGCACTATGCCACCACAGGTCCAAAGGACAAGATGGACTGGAAACCCTGAAACTGCAAACCAAGGTCATCTTTTTCTCCCTATAAGCCAAATTTCTCAAGAGAATGTTGTCATAGCACCAGAAAGCTGACTAAAACACTTACTAAGCCTCACTATATGTTTTCTCTTATGTGGGAGAGAAGGGAGCATTATAATGGGTCCCCAGGATGATGAGAAGTAGGGACTACATCCTAGATAAAAGGGCTGATGCTGGCTAGGAGCAAGGCTTCTCTTTTAGAGCAAAGGGCGTTGGAGGGTGTAAGGAATAAAGTCATCCCCTGCTATATCATGGCTTACTTATTGCAGCTCCACTGTATTATGGGTTTTGAGTTTTGGGTTTTTTTTAATACGTAAGTAGTGATCCTCACCTATCTCAGGAGTTATGTTCTAGGTGAAAACCTGCAAAGCAGCAATAAGTAAACCACAATATAGTGGGGTCTCTGGAATATAACTCCTGTGGTAGGTGAGGGATCGCTGTATGAGAAGACAGGGTTGCAGGCTTGGTGATAAGAAGCTGAGGAGCCAATGAGAACAAGAGTGAAGAACAAGGTAAAGAACCAGCCAGGGCTTTTGGAAGGGCCCAAAGGAGGAAAACTGGATCATTGACATGGGGTGGGGGTAGGAGGTGGTGAGGAGAGGACAGTCTAGGCTGATAGCCAGGAGGCTAGGTTAGAGGGTCCTTGGGAATAAAGAAGTCAAAGAATCAGGAGGCAAGGGGTGCCAGGCTCACGCCTATAACACTAGCTACCCAGGAAGCTGAGATCTGAGGATGCCAGTTCAAAGCTAGCCTAGGCAGGAAAGCCTCTGAGACTCTTGTCTCTGATTAACTAGCCAAAAACCAGAAATAGAGTTGTGTAGCTCAAGTGGTAGAGCACCAGCCATGAGTGAAAAAGCTAAGAGGCAGTTTTTAGGCCCTGAGTTCAAAACTTAGTAACTTGCATGGGGGGGCAGGGCGGGGCAGGGAGTGGGGCAGGCCATCCAATGGCTGCTGAGTCACCCAGGATGGTGATGGATGGGACTTCCATGCAGGAGGAGAAACATCCATCCATCCAGGAGAGAGAGGTAGAGAGGAAGCAGGCAGGAGCTACATGGTGAAAGAAAAGCACACAGTGGTGAAGGCTAAGAAGCTGCAGGCTGAGAGGACTAAGCCCTCCAGGGAAAAGAGGGTGTGTCAGGAAGGACTGGAGAAGGAACTGGAGGGAGAGGGTTGCAGCCTGAGTGATACAGTGAAACATGGAGAGAAGGGACACAGAGGAAAGCCACAGTCTGCATGGTTGGGAGATGTGGCCTTCCTGTCCTCAGCACCAGACCCCTGGTTCTCCCTCCTGCAGGCCAGCTGGAATAAGCATGGAAGTCCATCGCTGACCCCTGCCTGCCCAGTCCACCTGCCTCTGCGGCAGTCCTGGCTGCTGCTCCGTAGGCCCTCTGAGTAGATGAGATGCGGCCTCTTTTCTCCCCTTTCCGCCTGAACCCCTACACTCATCTTTGCTTTTCCATCACCTTTAAGTTCTGTGAGGAAGAAGCTCCTCCTGCTGCCTTCCTGACCCATCAGGGACAGAAATGGTCTCCAGACAGGCAGGACGGTGTCTCTGCCTCCTCAGTCACCATCAGAGCCTCCATCAAGGCCATGAAAACAACCAGTGCCAAAGGAATAGCCATTACCCACCCAGCCACAGCCAGTTAGTTCCAGGAGGCAGAGGTGGGTGAGACACGGCTCCCTGGTCACCCATTTTGCCTCTGCTCCCCATTCTAGTTCACTACAGGCAGATATTCCATCTGCTGACTGCAGCCCCAGCCTATCACCACCTGGGCCTCTGCTGTAGCAGAACTAGGCCCTGGGGGTGAGAGGGTGTGGCAGCGGGGCCTCTGCTGTGTGCAAAAGGCCTGGAATCTTCTCTCAGCCAGATATAACCAGTCTTTAGTTCTACATCTCTCCCACCCTTTCTCTTCCTGCTCTCCTTCAAGCTTCCTTCCAATGAGGTAGAGGGTTTGGGGCTTATGAGTTCCCTTCCCTGCCTTCCAAGCTTACATTTACACACACACACACACACACACACACACACACACACTCACACACACGTTTCTGCCTTTCTTTCTCTTCCTTCAGCTCCCTTGGCAGTAGAGGCTGGGCACCTCCCAGAGCCTCAGGAGAATCTTAATCACACCAAGCTTGATTTCATCCTCAGTGAAGCTTTCTGACATTTAATGAGTTAAGGAGCTAAATCCCTTCATCCCAGTGAAGCTGAGCTAGCCGCAGTGCGGGCTGCTGTGTGAGCAGGGGGGAGGGGTCCTGGACTGGTCACACTGATATCTCTGCAACAGTGTGCTTGCATGTGCAAATCCGCATGTGTGCAAGGCAGACACAGATATCAGTGTCTTTGAGCCCATGCCCATGTGCACAATGACATGAGCCTGCAGGGGTCACCCAGGCTAGGGCCAGCACCTACCTCCTCCAAATGGCCAGCACACTCATCACGGAGCCCAGGACAAGGAGGGCTGAGATGGTTACCACAGTGACGACAACCGCAGGGCTCTGGTCCCTTGACCCTGAGGCAGCTGGGAGGAAAAGCAGGAGGTTGAGGCAGGCAGAGCACCAGGCTCCCAGACAGGTTCCCAGACAAAGACCCCTGTCATCAGTCCACAGGGACCAAGTGGCACCTAGAATCCCAAGCAAGCACTTTCTCTGCTCCAGGGCAGGGTACCTCCACTGTAGCCAGTGCTGAGAGAGGTGAGCCTGGCCTCCCTTTCAGAAGCTCTGCCAGGGCATGGCCTCTGCATGGAGCTCCCTGCACCCAATGAAGACCCTCCATCACCACCACCACCAAGAGCCAGTACTAAATACACACTCTTCCAGACACAGTGCTTCATGCCTGAACTCTGCCACTCTCATTTCATCATTGCAACAGTCCAATGAGGTGATTCTGACTCTCTCACAGTGGTGGAATCCAAGGAGAAGACAAGTTATATAACTTGGCTAAGCTGACAGCTGAAAATGATAACCTAAGATTTGAACTTGACACCAAAGCCTCTGCTTGATGCCAAAGCCTCTACTTGGAACTATTTCCCCCAGGGCAGAAGCCTAGGACCGCATCCATCCATCTACCCACCCCACTCCACCTACTGTAATATGTCAACAAGAAAGAATGACTAATCTGGAGAAGTACACAGACCTAGGTTGGGAGATAGAAATACACACACACACACACACACACACACACACACACACGCACATGCATACACACACACCTTAACCATACAATGACCAAAGAAAGAAATGCACAGAGATGAGCAGAGGCCCAACACTTTCCTTCCTAAAGCCAGTGAGGAAGCTTTACACAAGAGGGGTACTCTAAAGTGGATGGGGGACAGAAAGGGCTTGGATGCTGCTTTGTGGAACCAGAGATGCAATGCCAAGTCTGGAAAATGCAAGAGATGAGAATGCATTGAGAAGGGTAGAGAAGAAAGAAGCTAGGTGGGGAATGGAAGGACTTGCGGAGCCAGGAGAGACACTGGAGGATGGAGGGCCCAGAGGAGATAGAACTGGAGGATCTTGGAGGCAGGCTGAGGAGTAGGAACACTGTTCTAAGGGCCGGAGGTGACATGCTGAGTTAGGAGTGGGGACAGGGAGGTGCTGAAGAAAGGGAAGATCTGGAATAACTGTCCAGAGCAAGGACGGTACTGGGCAGTCCTGACCACTGAACTGAGACTGGAAAGACACACACCGTGTCTTTATAGTGTCTATGTAGAACAGAAGAAGATGGCCCAAGCTGGGAAGCAATGGAAAAAGTGTGGCAAGACATGCAGGGAGTGAGGCAGGCAGAGCCAGGAGTATTTCCCTGTGATCACCTGCCAGGGCTGGGAAGTGGTGGAAGAGGCCAGGCATGCTGAGAGTCTGGGAGAGGAGATAGAATACAGAAAACTCTCTCTTGGATGCCACAGAAGAAGGGAGAAGGGACAGGAGGGAGAGTTAGAGACCAACAATGCAAGGTCAAAAAGCCAAGAGTTATAGAGCCATGGGGCCTGGGGCTGGCCAATGGCAGGAGAATGGAGTTGCCAAAACTGTTCAAAATGAGGCATGAGGCATCCATGCAGACGCAGAGGTGGAGAGGAGACACTGCCACCATGGGAGGCAGACTTTGGAATGGTCCTCTTGATTCCTGCTTCCTAGTCTACATCACCTGGAGGACAGGCTGAACAACTTCTTCTTCCTTCTTCCCTCATCCTCCTCCTCCTTCTTCTCATCCTCCTCTTCCTCCTCCTCCTCCTCTTCTTCCTCCTCCTTTTCTTCCTCCTCCTTCTCCTCCTCCTCCTCTTCCTCTTCCTCTTCCTCCTCCTCCTCCTCCTTTTCTTCCTCCTCCTCCTTCTTTTCCTCTTCCTCCTCCTCCTCCTTCTTTTTGTTGGTCATGGGACTTGAACTCTGGGCCTAGGTGCTATCTCTCAGCTGTTCAGCACAAGGCTCTACCACTTGGGCCACAGCGCCACTTCTGGTTTTCCAGTGGTTTGTTGGAGATAAGAGTCTCACAGACATTCCTGCCCAGGCTGGCTTTGAACCATGATCCTCAGATCTCAGCCTCCAGAGTAGCTGGGATTACAGGTGTGAGCCACTGGCGCCCAGCTCCTAGCAACTCACTTCTAATGAACAGAACATGGGATGCTATTCTCAAGGTTGGTTGACAGAGATGGCTCCATCTTGAGTGTCTTCTGTGCTCTCACTGGTTCACAGTCTCTGAAAGAATCTAGTGTTGAGTGGAGTGTCCCTAGGCAGACCTCTGGGGCAAAGAATAGCAGTCCCCAGCAGCAGCCATGAGAGCCTCATTCTCTCCCAGTTAAGCCATTTAAACTCTAAGATGAGCAGGGTGCCAGTGGCTGGCACCTAGTCATAGCTACTCAGGAAGCTGAGATCTAAGCATTATCGTTTAAAGCCAGTTGAAGCAGGAAAGTCTGAGACTCTTATCTACAATGAAGCATGGAAGTGAAGCTGTGGCTCAAGTGATAGAAACACTAGCTTTGAGCAAAGAAGCTCAGAGACAGTGCCCAAGCCCTGAGTTCAAGCCCCAGAACTAGCACTAAATTAATAAATGAACAAACTCTAAGATGGTGCCAACCTTGGGAGAGACTCACAGACAGTGGTGGCACCCATGTTCCCAACCCTCAGAATCATGAGAGAGCAATGCTTGCTGTTTTCAGTCACTAAGTCACAGGCTCATCTCTTACCCAGCAAAAATAACTAACATAGTGGTGAAGCATGATTCCTCATCAGCACCTTATCTTGGGGTCAGAAGTCACTAGAAAAATTGTTCTACAGTTGTAGGGAACTTCCCCCCATAGCCAGACTCAAAGCAAGGAAGGCAGGATCAGCTGTCAGCTGACAACCCAGCTCCTGCCCCTCAAACTCAGGAGTCTTTGCTCAACAGCTTCTGCTACCTAAATACCTCCCCTGTCCATTTCTACTAGTTCAAATGCCCCTTAGTCTTCAAGCCTCAGCTCTAATCTCCTCTTCCCAGCACCTGGCCAAGGTCTGACACAGACAGGCATTTAAGTCAGAAGTGCTGTCATCCTTCTCGGAACCTAGGCTCCCTGGTATTTTATCTTCGCCTCCCTTTGGGCCCAGAGCTCTTCCTATCTAGGATTAGAGTCGTATAGCAGGTTGGAAAGAATTATTATCTTGACAGCTGGTGCCAGAATGCCTCTTAGGGGGAACTGCCTTTGTTCAAGAAAATACTTTCATGAGCTGCTCGGGGTAGATAGAGGTGAGATCCTGAGGGCTGTGAGCATCAGGCAAAACAACAAAAGAGGAAGCCAAAGCTTTCTGTAGGCATCATGAAAGGGAACGTGGGGGTGGGTTTGAGGAAGAGGCAATGGGGAGGGAAACAAGGGGCAGTGCCCCCACTCTGCCCCCACCCAATACTATGGAGGAGGCAGAGCTATTTTGAGATCAGGAAGTCTAATGTTTAGCTTTTGTTTTGCTGCTATCAGAGCTTTACTAAGATCATTCGAATACCACTCAGTCTACTTGAAGTATGCAAAGCTCATTTGGATTTGTTGATTGCTGCCTTCAAAACCCCTTCAAGTGAGCATCCTCTACCCCTAGGAGAAGTCTGGTTCAGGGGCTAAGCCTACTAGAGGAGGAAACATTGCCCCTTGGCAGGTCTCTATCATGGCAGAGAAAAAGAAGAACAAGAAGAAGGACTTAGTGGTCATGGTAACAGGCGGTCATGAGACTTCAAACACTTTTCAGGAAAATGGCTGAGTTTCAGAATGGACCCCGTGTCTGAGTCTCAGAGCGCTTCACAGGACATGGAACATGCCCTGTGAGAAGGGAGGCACACTGAGACAAATGTTCTGGCCATTCCTGCTGGACTTCTTCAGGGCAGGTACCAGTCAAATTCATGCCGGAAGACCCCAAACTGCTTAAGTAATTACACTGTAATTCAACTGTTCTGCAGGCTCCCTGCCCAGCACACCTAATTCCCTCCCTGATTTGTCTCCTTTTCCTGTGTCCTGTGTTTGGCTTCTGGACCAAGGCAATGTACTACTCACCTTCCCCAGGGGTCTGCACTTCAATGCTGGGGCTGAAGCTCTGGCCCTCCCAGGAGGGCCCTGTGGAAGCTGTCCGGATCTGGAAGACGTAGCGGGTGGCGGGCTTCAGGTTGGTGACGGTGACGGCTGGTGCCCCTGTCTTCACCATGGAGTAAGTCTGTTCACTCCGACCCTGGAGAAGATGGAGAAGTGAGGCCAGATCCAAGGCCAGAACCACTCTTCTGGAGAAGGATGGGAGGACAGCCATGGAGAGGCCAGAGGACGATCTCCCAGTGAGTGTGGGTTGTGCGGAGGAAGGACTTCAGAGCTTTCTCCCATGGGATTCCCAGTGCTTCTCCTCATAGCAGTCATACTCAGGGTTCTTGTAACCAAGAGGACTATCATCTACATCTGCCTAAGACATACTTAAGAAAAGATGCCAGAGCCTCCCTCTCAGAGCTGATGGGGTTAGGGACCCCAAGTGCGCAGGCCTGACACTGCAGAGTGAGAAAAATGATCCTGCCCCATCCTGCCCTAGACACTCTTCCTGGGGGGCTGCCATCTCTGTGAATCTGATTTTCATGAGAGTCTTGTAAGGTGGGGGACAGGAGGCATTATCTCATTTGCTGTTTTGTTTCACCGATAAGGACACTGAGCTCACTTGGATGGGGTGGGGGTAAAGACTCACCCCAGGCCCCAGTTGGAGAGAAGGACATCACTGATGGGAGCCTACTCACTGCCCACCACTGTGCTGGACTCTACAAGCCCCACGCCCTGTAGTCCCACTCCCTGTAATATCTTTTTGGCTATGGCATTCATTGGAACAATTCCTGGAAAGACAAGACAGCTGCAGGACAGTGAGGCAGGGAGGAGGCTGGGAAGGACTGCGTGGAGCAGCACAGCTGCAGACCACAGCTGCTTTCATGAGCTAGGAGCCAGCCCCTCTGTGGAGGGGGCTGTGCTGGGGTGCAGAGAGAAGGGAAGATGAGAAGCACTGTGGCTCCAGAGAAGGGTCCCGGACACCTGTCCAGACCTAATGACCCAACAATACTTCAAATACAGCACCTTGTGAGATTCACGCTTCTTTTTGATGGTTTTCATTCCCAGCATATTCACATTCCCTGATTACGGGCTTGTGAGCATCCAGCCAGCTGTGAAGGGACTCTCAACTACACTCTCATCTCTAAATGTCAGTTCAGTGAGTCCTAAACACTGCTCCTCAGAAGCCTTTCCTGGATACACTCAGAGTTAGAGGCTTTATTAAAAAAAAAAAAAAGTACAGCTGGGCACCAGTGGCTCACACCTGTAATCCTAGCTATTCAGGAATCTGAGATCTGGGGATCAAGTTTTGAAGTCAGCCCAGGAAGAGAAATCCATACATTCCCTTCCTGACATTAGCTACCATCCCTATGCTGAAAGCTGTCACTCACACAAGAACCCTGCTCTTTTTCTCCCCAGCTTGCAGCTCTATTATGAGTTTCATACCTGTAAGTTCCCCTGGATACCTTGCATGCATGAGGCCCTGGGTTCGATTCCTCAGCACCACATAAACAGAAAAAGCTGGAAGTGGAGCTGTGGTTCAAGTGGTAGAGCACTAGCCTTGAGCTGAAGAGCTCAGGGAGAGTGCCCAGGCCCAGAGTTCAAGCCCCACGACTGACAAAAACAAAAACAAAAACAAAATGATGATCCAGATATATCTCAAAGCAATTAAGTGAGACAAGGTTTAAACATGATACATATTTACAGTCATGTTCCTATACAGATAATATGTGTGTGTGATGTCAACATGCAGGCAAATTTGAGATTGACTAGTCTAATGTCAGTGAACAGTCTCTCTCTCTCTCTCTCTCTCTCTCTCACACACACACACACACACACACACACACACACACACACACACTCCAATGTGTGGCATCCCTGGAAAGAGAGCTCAGGCTCTCACCTGTGTGTGTTGAGTCAGGTTATTTCCAAGAGCAGCCCCTTCAATACTGCATGAGCAAACTGACACTATCTTGCCCCAACCTGCTCTTCCTCTCAGCCAGGGCACAGTGTTGTCCTCTGGGTCACCTAGGCCATACATCCAGCAGTGACTCCCTCCTCCTTCCCCGTCCCCTTGACACTCCCAGCTCTCAAGAGACTTCTAATATTACAAAACGATTATCTGGTTCAGCAAAGAAGTCCTGCATGTCACTGAGGAGTGAGCAGAATTCTGATTGCATTTAGAGCTGGCGCTGAAAGAGGTTTTACTTTAATGAATTTAATTTGTACTAAGGTGAAAACCTGTCTAACAGCAGCTTATACCTCAGATGGAGGGAGGAGGAATGTATGAGAGAGTGGTTGTGGTGTAACTCCATTTATCAAATCAAGACTGACCTGCAACTCTACATCAAAAATGCATGCAAGCTCTAGCAGCTTTGTGAATTTCTATAAAGCCACGTTGTTTGAGTTATAGAAAATGCTAAAAATTGGGAAAAATGCATACAAGAAAAAAAATCTTGGCATAGTGATGAAAGCAGGGAGTTTCAGCTACTTAAAGGCTGGGGTGGGAGTTAGAGCCAGGGCTGGGCAACACAGAAATATTTCATCTCAAAAAAAAATTACA